AGTATAACAAAATTTTCAATGATATTGAGAGCATTTTTGGTTAACCTACATTTATTTGGGATTTCCATTACATCCCACTATGTATCTCTAGAGCACTATATGAGTTGTGATAGAGAAATATCAGTCTTTGAAGAACAAACTATTGAATGGGAGAAATGACGTTATTATGGGGAATTAAAACAATAATATCAAGCCGAAAGCCTTCAAGTATTTTAATTTTCTTTTTTTAAGATTTTATTTATTTATTCATGAGAGACACACACACACACAGAGAGAGAGAGGCAGAGACACAGGCAGAGGGAGAAGCAGGCTCCATTCAGGAAGCCTGACTGGGACTCGATCCTGGGTCTCCAGGACCACGCCCTGGGCTGAAGGCAGCGCTAAACCGCTGAGCTTCCAATTGTTTTTCTTTTTAAAACATCAATAAGCAGTAACTTTATCTAAATATTTATGTCAAAATATTGAGTTAAGGGTGCCTGGGTGGCTTAGTCAGTTAAGCATCTGACTCTTGATTTTGGCTCAAATCACAATATCAGGGTCATGAAGTCAAACCCAGTGTTGGGCTCATGCTGGAGGTGGAGCCTGCTTGAGATTTTCTCTCTCCCTCTGTCTGCCCCTCTCACATGGTCTAAATAAATAAATAAAATAACAAAAAAATAAAATATTGAGTTAACAACAATAGTTTCCCTACAAAAGTCTATGTCAGTTAAGCACAACAAATTTGGCTCCTGCCTGTCTTTATTGATATCCTTTCTCACTCCTGTTAGGCATAGTATTTTGTAGAGGAAAATAGCAGTAGCAAAACACCATGTGAGTTTTGTGGAAGCACTTGGGTCATGTAGGCAAGACCTAACTTGATGTCAAGTAGAATTTTCATTTCTGTTGTCAACTGTGGCATGTTACTTTTTAATTGGTGGTTGATAGTTTTCATTTGTTAACCCAAGTTGCCAGCCAGTATTCCAGTCTTCCATCCAAAGGTCAATACATATATCACCAGTCATTATTTGGAACTCTGTAATAATAATGAAATAAAATAGTTTTGTATTGCTTTCTGTATGCCCAGTTAATCACACTTATTACTTCATATTTGGTTCTGTGCATTATGAAGAAGGTTTTATTGCCCCCCTTTTACCGATGAGGAAACTACAGTTTAAAGAGTTAAGTAAAAAAAATAAAAATAAAAAAATAAAGAGTTAAGTAACTTTCCCAAAGTCACACCCAGAATCAGACCCAGACCTAGAGATCTACCTTGTACAGTGCCATGGGACCACTGTCTTCCTTTAGCTTCCCAGCTCAATGAATTGCCCTGTTCCAACAAGTGTGTTTCTACCTACCAAGGACAGATAAATAGAAATAGAGAAGATTTCTCTTTCAAAACATTTTGACAGCTGTCAGGATCTCATTGAATATAAATTTCTCTCCATTGGTATTTAGCCTTATTTTTAAAAAGATTAATTAAACATAAACCTTATGTCATTAGGGCATGTCAGGGATCTTAGGGACTTGGGGGGGGAGCTATTAACATAGATAAAAGGGGGGGAAAAATGACCTTTATTGAAATAAGATTATTTGAGAATAATGTTTTGAAATAGAAAAAAAACTAGGAATTAGTGGAAACTAAAATTACATTTCACCCAGAAGATATATTTCTGGTTTGAAGTGTTAATAAAAGTGACCACAGTGGGAATTGCTCACACACATAAGAGCAACACTTACTCATTTGAGTTTTCCCATAATTGTTCAGGATATTAAAAACTTACTTTGAATGTTCACTACAAATTCAAAACACTGTAGGTTTTTATGTTTTGGATTGCATACATTTTTTATTAGTTATAATCCTTTATTAAATTTGGGTGAGTACAAAACAGTTAACTTATGAAAAAATACTTAAAAATTCACAATTCTTTACTTAATAATAATTTATTTATTTATATTTTTATATTTTAAATATTTTATTTTATTTATCCTTGAGAGACAAGGAGAGAGAGAGAGGCAGAGACACAGGCAGAGAGAGAAGCAGGCTCCATGCAGGGAGCCTGATGTGGGACTTGATCCCGAGACTCCAGGATCACGCCCTGGGCCGAAGCTAGATGCTTAACTGCTGAGCCACTCAGGCATTCCAGTTAATAGTAATTTAAAAGAAATATCAGTTTAAAGCTGTCAGAGGAAATAGAACAATATCATAGGGATACTTGTGAGTGAAATTTCTTCTAAGAGTATGCCATTGAGGTTATGGGACAGGTATTCGTTTACTGAATGTCTATTAATATGGAAAATGGGTTCTATTTTTGGATTAATTGAAACTATTTGAATCTGTTTTTGTAGTCCTTGAAAAAAGTGAATTCAAAGATGAACCCCTACTTTTCCGTTTTTTTTCGGATGAGGAAATGGAAGGATCAAATATGAAGCATCGTCTAATGAAACATGATTTAAAAGTTGTGGAAAATGTTATAGCCAAATCATTATTGGTAAGCTTATTAACATGTATAAGTTTTCTTCCTTTATTCTGTTTGATTTATACCTTTTTTTCATAGTTCCTTTATTAATAACGTTAATATTTTGCATTTCAGATTAAATCCAATGAAGGCAGCTATGGTTTTGGGTTAGAAGACAAAAATAAAGTTCCAATAATAAAGTTGGTAGAAAAGGGCTCTAATGCTGAGGTAATGTGAAGTAGCATTTTTATTTAAATTTCTTGTCCATGACATACAAATATAAAAGTTCTAAACAGGGATCCCTGGGTGGCGCAGCGGTTTGGCGCCTGCCTTTGGCCCCGGGCGCGATCCTGGAGACCCGGGATCGAATCCCACATCAGGCTCCTGGTGCCTGGAGCCTGCTTCTCCCTCTGCCTTTGTCTCTGCCTCTCTCTCTCTCTCTGTGACTATCATAAATAAATAAAAAAAAAATTAAAATAAATAAATAAAAGTCCTGAACAAATTGAAATCAGCTTTTAAGTGTCTTTATTAAAAATAGTGTTTCTGAATAATCTTACTCTGAGTTTCTACCAGATATTGGGATTTGTGACAGAGTCCATCAAAGATAGTTGAAAGGAGGTATTGTAAAGATCGATAGTTGTGAACTTCTTGGCCTCCTGGGAAGTCACATGGCTTATCCCATGTCCCTATCAGTGATTGGGGGAACCCTATGGAGACTGCATTCAGTGAGACACTATTATGTATGTCAGATAACTGTTCCATTAAATCAAGGGCTATGTCTTTTATTTTCCTATCACTTCTATCATAAAAAAATATATATATATATAACTTTCATCAGTAAAGCACATGCTTTAACTTATTTTCTCATTAGGTTAATGCCAATTGATGTTCTCTCACCTCATCAGCCTTTAAAAAAGGAATCTCCTGATCATTCATTGAGAATTATTTATTTAGTACCTATTATATACCACACAGTGTTCTAGGCTCTGGGAATACAACAATGAACAAGAGACAAAATCTCCTGCTCTCACGGAACTTATTGGGACTGTTATATCCCACACATATCAGATTTAAAATGGTCTCACCTTGCTGCCTGGCTTGTAAAAATGCCTTAATCCTCAAGCAAATTTCTAAATATATAAATCTTAACTAGCGAATGTGAGAATGAATGAAGCATGGCTTTTAACTTCGAATCTATTTAAGGTTGCCATCCATCCTCCTATCTGCTATTGCCCAAGGCCTTCATCTTTTACCAAAACACAAGCTCATGCAAGACAATGTTAGGTACAGCACATTCATTTCAAATGAAATAACTCTGGTCAACTCATACTTTGTTAGTGGGCTGGACCAACAAGGGACTATTTTTAGTAATTTTCTGCAAGAAGGAAATGTTCTCTCAGACATTTTCTGTGGGTGTTCTTAGGGGACAGTTTCATCTGACTATGCCACTGATTAAATGCACTCTCTCAGGTTTTCATCATTTCGCTGGTAACCAAAACAGCATGTAGTTTGGAGTCAGTGGGATTGGTTAAGAATGGCGGCCTGGTTGGCATGGAGAGATGATGTCTTCTTTTATCTTTTCAGCCTCTGCCAATCTGTGGTTTCTGGAGCTCTTTTCCTGGGGTTCCAGGCCATTCCTCTCTCCTGCCCTGGAGATATCTATGCTGTGTCATGCTAGCAATACGTATTCAGCTGTCATTGATGGCTATATAGAGGTTGAACCTCTCTGAGTTAATTGGACATAAATGGAAAACAAAGTAAAAGAAAATTACCCTGGGTTTGACTGTAGCTTAAAGGATGAAATAAGAAAAAGAACTATAAGGTACAAAAGAAAGAGGGTCACAGGAGGAGTACAAAATTAAGTCATAAAAGAAGGGGCAGGGAATTTCAGTACAAATGGGTGATCAAATTTAAAACTAGGTCAAAGAGAATAACTGTGTTATCTCCCCCACAGTTCTGTTGTGTGAAATTGTATAAAAAAAAACATTGCAGATGTGTTAAAATGTCAAAAATCTGCAAGTTCTAGGTCTTTTCAGCTTCTAATTCTGTGAAATAGATTCCTTATTAAAATATAATTTGATTTTTTTTTCTATTTCTCTCTTAGATGGCTGGCATGGAAGTTGGGAAAAAGATTTTTGCTATTAATGGTGACCTAGTTTTTATGAGACCTTTCAATGAAGTGGATTGCTTCCTGAAATCATGCTTAAACAGCAGAAAACCTCTAAGAGTTCTTGTGAGCACAAAGCCAAGGGAGTAAGTTGCATGGTTTATGTGGGATTTAAAAAAAAATTATACATAGGTGAATAAAATAGAAAAGTTAACTAAGTACATGTCTAGAATTAAGTATCTCATTGCTTGAGACATTTAAACCTCACTAAGATCACTAATACTGGTCTTTAAATGATAGGAAAAACTGTATCACTTATGATACTAATGCTCGCTACTCAAATCAGGTAGTTTCAGTAGAACTAATACTGTTTTTGCTGCCCATATTTTCTGGTCTAGGTTGGATTGAGTTTGATTAGAAGTGAAGAAAACTAGGAGAACACTTTATATTAAGAACTGCATTCACCATGTTCAGCTCTAAGAATATCAGGTCTATAAGTTAGTTAGATATTAGGTTTGTAATTAAATGCTTATAAGAAATGGGAGCACAGCTAGGTGAAATACACTCACATGCTTGCTTGTACTTAGTGACATGTCCATTCTGTTAAAAAAAAAAAAAAAGTCTATCTACCTACCTACCTATGATTAGGAAAAAACCCTCATGTTTATTATAGCAAATTTAGAGAGTATAGATTTTTCTAAACAAAGATGTGTTTCTTATAATCATATCAGACATTCTTATCTTTTTGAAATTCAGTAATAGTTGATTTTTCTAAGTACTGATGCAGATTTACACAACCGTGTATTTATAAAATGGGATCATGCATTATAATCTGTTTTTTTTAATTAATAAGATATTATGGATATCCTTGGAAGACATTGGTTTTTCTTCTGCAAATCATGATAGTCTAGTGTTCCCATATCATGTTTCCATGATTTGTTTAATCAATTAATTAATCAATATGATGAATAGAAAGCACTTAGCATAATGTCTTAATGTAGTATGATTATATTAAAATTACTGTCTAAAATTTAATTATGTCACTTATTCATAGTAATAAGCAACTAAGCCTCTGTATTCATTTTAAGGTAAATGAAGGTTACCACTTAAAAAACAAAAGGTTTAGTTTAACTACTTATGAAAATATTCTTACTATCTATAGAATAGTATGCTTCCCTGCTTTAATATATATATTCAGCAGTAACTGGGTGCACTCTTTATCTTAGGAATTGAAATGCAATGTAATGAGCTAGAATATATGTGCTGCTGAAGCGAGCATGCAATGTAATGAGCTAGATTCTTCAGCATTAAGTCATCAAGGTCGATGCTAAAACTTACCAAGGAAGAGTGAGTGTGACTCATTAAAATTACTCATTTAGGAAAACTTTGGGCTGGAGGGCAGAGAATAACCATAACAATGTCTTCTCTCTCAACCTAATTTTGATCTATTACTCCCTCTTTATCCAGTCCTGTCCAGGGTAAACTCACCTTAGTTGCCTACCCCTCTGTACCCTTTGAGGACACTTAAAAGGAAAAGAGCAGACTGGAAAGGAATAAGAGAATAGTCCAAAGCATCATTAGTAAACATAAAGGGCCTCCCCATGGCCCTATTGCTCCCTGATTTAACTCTGTAACTACTGATTGACTGATCATAGACATTTAAACAGCTGGATCACTCTGAAGTCCTCAACTTTAAGATTAAATAGATAGGGGCAAATCTTCAGTTCTAGAACTAATTGCTTGATGAGCAGCATTAGAACCTGTGTCTTCCTACTCTGTGCTTGTTGCACAGTATCTGGAACCCAGTATTTCTGGTCCAGGTTCAAGCTTCTCTTCCACCACTTGCTTGCTAATTATGTTGCTTCAACATCTTCATCCATAAAAAAAGGAAGCTGATAAGACTGTCTATGTCATGGAGCTGCTGAGAACATTAAATAAATTTAGGTTTGTAAAGAACTTAGTGACCTGTTCAGCTCATCGTGTATACTCCAGTGATGTTATCTGTGATGCATATCTCTTCTTATTTCATTTTTTTCATTGCTTCCTTATTACATCAGGAGCATATTTTATATTTCAAAACCATTTTGATTTTGAAGATAGAGTACTAATTTTTATGTTTCACTTTTAACTTACTGAAATCTGTAGCCTTTCCTTTATGTCCTTATCCTAAGGTATGATTCCTATAAATCATTCTCCCATATTTTCTTGCAGTGGCCCCTTATACTTGATGTGTAGTGTCTTGTCTGGGGAGGAAAAGGCAAAAATATGAGAAATAAATACAACTGTGGTTTTCTTTTGAGCCTTGCTGTATTTTACACTTGATAGCATCAAAGAATTTTTCAAAAGGCTTTGTAGCAGATTATTTAGTGCACTTACTTTCTACACGAAATGGAGTGTTCCTTTTGTATAAACTTAATTCTTCGTTTAATAGACAATATAGTGGTCCCAGCAGGGAAACATGTTTTCCAAAGATCACTTTATGAAGAGAGTCCCAGTATTATAAGCAAAATGAATCTCATGGTGTTTTGTACAAAATTTTTAAAGAAATATATAATAATCTTCTTGAAGATTAGAGTAAGGTCAACCTTCCCTAGCAATATTAGAAGATAGAAGACCTTGCTGTGAAAGAACCAAGGGGCTGCTATGAATTCCTCACAATCCAAAAGCAACAATAACTCACCATGGCTGGAAAGCTCGAAGTTATTTCAGCAAAAGTGAACTCTAGTTCATGATAAATAGAACCATGAGCTACTTCTATTTTTTTGCTTCATGCTCAGAAAACATATTTATTCCTTTTCCTTTTCCTAGTCAGTTATTTCCCATTTTCAGGTGTCTTTTATTTATTTATTTTTGACAGACACTAGTAACAAGGTGCTATTCAAAGCAAGCAAATACAAACTTATACACCAGATGGTATGTAATTAAGGATAAAGGAAAAGTAGTTCTGTGACCTCTACTCCACCAATATGTAGATCACTTGATAGTGTATAGCCTACTCACAGTATGTAACTTAATTCATAATACTACTTTCAAGTTTCCCTAAAACAGACAATTCCCATTTCTATCACCCAATGCTGGAAAGCCTGCCTCGGTTATATTTCAGATTGCAGGATCAGTCTTTGCCATCAGGCGCAAATGCCATGTATGGCTTTCTCAAGTGTCCTAGGTGTGGTGTTGCTCAAACTGCTCTAGCAGCTATTTTATAAATTGTTAAGTAAGTGCTGCTGTACCTAACTTCAGGCTCTGTCTAATGTGCCCTTGAAGTGCTGCTGACATTTGTTTCATGATTAATTCGTCATCTTTTGGAAAACACTTTTGTTTCTTGGGCATCTAGGGCCATCCATCAAAATTTATTGCATTGCATTCGTTTGTCTTTGCTCTGTACTGCAATTTACGATAGTCATTTTTATTGTTATAATGTTCAGCCTTATCTCATGTTCCCTGCTTTTCATTGTTGCTCTCTGATCTCTGGCTTCCTTCTGTGGAGTGGCTCACTTATTAGTGCCAAACTGGACATCCCTCATTGGTTTGTCATAACAGTTTACTCAGGCTCTACTTTCCCTCATCTTCTTTTCCACATGGCTTCATTGAAAACATTTCTTTCCTTATTCAGGTTTTCCTTTTGATGTATTATTCTCTCAAAATTTCACTGAATAAATACTGAAGTTAATCACATTTTTTAATTATTTTGAGGTAGTGTTTGACAGATCTGTTCTTCATAGAACTAGATTTTTGTTGTTGTGCTTTGATGAAATTCCCCACAGGTAGAAATGGATTAACTCTGTTTCTTTTATTATTTGTCACAAAGACATTTCACAGTGCTCTATCTTCTTTGTAACAGTAAACTAAAAAGTTGGCTCCTTAGTGGGTGGCTCTGTCTGTTAAGTGGCGGACTCGATTTCGGCTCAGGTTGATCTCAGGGTCCAGGGATAGAGCCTCTCGTATATCGCTGAACCTGGGAGGGAGTCTTAGGAGGATTCTCTCTCTCCCTTTGCCCCTCCCCTTGCTCCTGCTCTATCTCTTCTCTGTCTCTCAAATAAATAAATACTTTTTTTTTTTTTTTTTAAGGGTAAGCTAAGGAGAGGAGCTTCCATTTTATTGAAATGCCTACATGGTTCGTAGCATGTTGTAAGGCAATGGACCAAAGATTCCTCTTTTAGTCACCAATGACACCAGGCAAAATGAGTTTTAATGTCCTCTTTCTGTGGAAACAAGCTCAGAGAAGTTAAGGAGTTTGTGCAAGTTACTCAACCATCAAGTGATTAAATGAGGATTCAGAGCTAGTTTTGTCTGATTCCCAGAGCCTGTTCCTCATTTAGCGTACACCATGCAATGGCCATGCTCAGTTGAGGAAGTCTGTCATGTGTGCTGGCTGGGTGCCTTTGTGAGGGCATGCGCCCTGTTTGTCACCTGGTTTCTAACCCAGTCAGTGTCTTACACAGTAGATCCCCCTACACATGTTGACTGAAAGAGTGAATAAAGTGTAGGCACCATTGTTTTAACCAACTGTGGCATTTTAAAGTCATCTTACCCTATTTTCTAACTGATTTTAGGACTGTGAAAATCCCAGATTCAGCTGAAGGACTTGGATTCCAGATCCGAGGATATGGCCCATCAGTTGTACATGCAGTAGGAAGAGGTGAGAATTTCGTTCCACGTGGCAAACAGCTTTTCAGCATGTTTGGATGTTGCTGGCTGAACGAGAATATGTTCAAAATGAGCATGATCATGTTGTCATGATTTTTCTCAATCATATTTTTACTTTATTAGGTCAGTGGCAGTATATTCCTAAAACAATATTTAAAAAAAAACCTTAGGGATCCCTGGGTGGCGCAGCGGTTTGGCGCCTGCCTTTGGTCCAGGGCACAATCCCGGAGACCCGGGATCGAGTCCCACGTCGGGTTCCCGGTGCATGGAGCCTGCTTCTCCCTCTGCCTATGTCTCTGCCTCTTTCTCTCTCTCTCTGTGACTATCATAAATAAATAAAAATTTAAAAAAATAAATAAAAATAAAAAAATAAAAAAATAAAAAAACCCTTAAAATTGTAAGGCATATTTATCACTGTTAAAAACTGATGACGTGGATGGAACTAGAGGGTGTTATGCTAAGTGAAATAAATCAGTCAGAGAAAGACAAGGTACCTTATGATTTCACTCGTATGTGGAATTTAAGAAACAAAACATGAACATAGGCAAAAGGAATACTCTGGTTTCTCTTCAGATTGCATAAATCTTTTGCCTTTTACATAGGAAAGGGAAGGAAAAATAAATAAGATGAAAATAGAAAAGGAGACAAACCATAAGAGACTCCTACCTCTAGGAAACAAATTGAGGGTTGCCAGAGGGGAGTGGGGTAGAGGATGGGGTAACGGTGATGGGTATTAAGGAGGGCATGTGATGTGATGAGCACTGGGTGTTATATGCAACTGATGAATCTCTCAGTTCTACCTCTGAAATAATATGCTATATATTAATTAAATTGGATTTAAATAAAATTTAAAAAACAAAACTGATGAAAGAATGATGCCTCTCAATCACACTTTTCTGCATGTTTCCATGCAGTTGTTCATTTGTATTTTCCTCTGGTGGCAAATAACTATATTTTTGTCAGTAACTCAAAGATGTAGGTTTTCAGGCTTAAGAATGATCTGTGTGTTTTATAACCTGTTTCTATATGATTACTTCAAGTATTTATATAAATGAAGCATTTCATAAGCTATAAAATGCATTTTAAATTAAATAATAACTTACATTTATGTTTTATTTTTTCGTTTGATAGGTAAGTAAAAATAAACCATTGATATCTCTTGTTATAAGTATTTTAAATTTTGTATTATAAATTTTGTATTATACTAACACTAGTAATGATTTAAGGAAATGACTGTTAGATCCCATATAGTATATAGCTTGCTGCTATAGAAAGAAATGTCACTATAAGCAAAGAGGTCATGTATTTATCTTAACAAGAGACATACATGATTCTCATTCTGAGAAAACATAAAATGTAAAGCATCTTAATATGATCACCCAGATATTCGACTGAAAAATTTTGAGAAGGTGTTGCTATCAGAATCAAATGTATCAAGCGCATACTAGCTAGACTTGTATTAGATTATAAAATTGCCTGTATTAGGGGAATCCCTGGGTGGCGCAGCGGTTTGGCGCCTGCCTTTGGCCCAGGGCTTGATCCTGGAGACCCGGGATCGAATCCCACATCGGGCTCCCAGTGCATGGAGCCTGCTTCTCCCTCTGCCTGTGTCTCTGCCTCTCTCTCTCTCTCTCTGTGACTATCATAAATAAATAAAAATTAAAAAAAATTTTTTTTTAAATTGCCTGTATTAGTGTATATGTGACAAAAATGAATCTTATTTCAAAAACTTGTCTTTTCACTGAGATGTTTAAAACAGACTAACAGACATTCAAAACCTTTCCAATAACTCAATATTATAAAACTGAAATGGGATATATTTCATACTGCAAGGGGATAGTTGGTACATCAAAGATCTTAATTTTCACTAAACAAAAAAGTGAGTCACATTATCTGTACTGTAAAATCACTGAAAACCTGAGTGAATCCAGTTGTGCCTCTGTCCTTATTACAATGTCTTTTAAAGAGAGGGGTTCTGTCTTTGGAACGTAGTTGTAGGGTAGGCCCAAATCTGGGCCTTTACTTCTGAAGACTGAAAGACAGAAATGCTCCTGTGCTTTTCCTTTCAGATATATACTAAATGAAAAGATATTATTCTGTGGTGTTCTTTTTGCACTGTAATTTTGCTGTAAGAAAGGAAAACTTTTCATTTTTTCTTCTTCAGCCCTCTCCTATGGCCATACACTAGAGTATATCTACATCTGAAATTTCACCTTTGGAATCTAAAACTCCAATATGCCAATTTCTTACTGCAATCACATAACTTTGATATTCTCAGCTTGTGGGGGTTCTTTTGTTTTGTGTATTGTTTTGTTTTTTTAATTCATTTGGGACCTCCAGCCTCTGGATTCTTCTCTGTTTCTCCTGGTTAGTTATACACCTGAAGACCCCCTTCCTTAGCCAGCTTTATCTCCAGAGTAGGTCCTCTGTCATCCTTGCCAGCATTACCAGGATCCTCGTCATCATTCTTCAGGTGTACCCTGTCACTTCTTTTTAGTCTTGGATCAACTTAACCATCTCTTTTGGTTTTTCTCCTGAGTACCTGGGAAAACAACTATCATGGATGTAGAATTAGTGTCATCCCAGTTCACCATCCTTTTACTGGGCCCGTCTAATGACTCAGCAATCCTTTCAAGTCTCTCATCATCTCCTTCTTTTTCTCCTCATCCCTCCTGTCTCCCAAGATGAACTTCCTTTTTCACAGAAAAATCCAGGGTCGGTATGAAACCCTCAGAGTCCCACACCTTTTTCCGCATACCCGCACGTTTCACTGGCTCTTTCACCTTCACCAGCTTTCTCCCACCCTAGAGGAAGAGGTCTTTTTTTTCCCCCTTTTTAGAGTTCAAGGTGAATAGGTGTTCTAGATCCCATCCCTTCGGATACCTTCTCTGGAGTGTTACACTGTCAGATATCCCTCTTCCAGAATTTCGGTCTTTTCTCTTCATTGGATTAATATAGTACAGGCTGTGAACATCTTAATTCTTTCCCACTAAAATAAACAAAGGAGCAAAATGATCTCAAAGTAGAACAGCAAACACGGAACCTTTTCCTCTTCCTGTTTTCCCATCTAGATCCTTGCTACTTAAAATAGGATCCATAGACATATAGCATTGTCATTGCCTGGGAACTGGTTAGAAATGGAGAATCTTAGGACCCACCCAGGATGGACGGAGTCAGAGCCTACATTTTAACAAGATCCTCGGATGATTTGTATGTACACCCAAAATTGATAAGCTCAGCTCTAGAATAATATGCTGATAAACTTTATTTTGTCATGACCAAACTTCCTGAAATTCTGGTCTGTATCTTTAGCTGCCCTTCTTCACTTCCTATTTGAGTTTTAGCCCAGTGCTATAGACATCTCTTCCTATCTTCCACCCATGTCTCCAGTCTGTCTTATAAGATTTATCATGGACTTGACTGAAAAGTACTGTTTGGACATTAATAACATTTGTATTAATTGAGCTTTTGTGGTATTTGTTTGAACTGACTACTCTTGTTTGCTGGAAAGGTTCATCTCTTGATTTCTGAGATGGCACTTTTCAGATTTTTCTCCTACCCCTCCTCTGGCAGCTCCCTTCATCTATCATCCCCATAACTGTTGGCTCCTGCCTGTCTTCTCTGCCTTCTTGTTCTCTGTAAGAAATCTCATTGATCTTCTTGCTGGAGATATTTAAATCTCTACCTCCTGCTCAGATCTCTTTCCTGGGTTCTATAGTCTAGATCTAATTATTTATTAAACATCTCCACTAAATGCCCTGTTGGCACCTTAAAAACTCAGTATTTAAAAAAATAAATAAATAAATAAAATAATAAAATAATAAAATAAATAAAATAAAAAATAAAAAAATAAAAAAAAAACCCAAACTCAGTATTTTCCCCAATTGAACTTTCCATCTATACTCTGAACTTGCTTCACCTTCTGTATTTTCTTTATTAAAATGACTATCTACTCAGCCACTGAGTCCAAAGACAGAGGAGTAATCCTGGGGACTGTAGCCTCTTCACAAAACTCTGTCATCAAACATCAGATACTTGATCTCATTCTATCTTTTATAACAAATGCTACTTTAGTCCTAGTCCAGAAAATTGTAGTAGATGCTTGTTGTGATTTTGATTTTTGACTTAAACTCTGGCGATCCATCCTCTGTTTTGGGGGGTCATGTCACTTGTCTGCTTAAAATTCTTAAATGATTTTCCTCATGCATATATAGTAAGGTCCAGGCTCTTAGGACTTCACATAGAGTATTCAAGGACTTCACAACCTGGCTCTGCTTGGCTCTCCAGAATCTTCACCCATCACTCTCATTTTAAGCTCATACTAAGTGCTCATGTGCTTCCAAATGTCCAAGTTATTTCTTGATTCAGTGCCTTTTTTTAGGCTATTCTTTCTATAGGGAGCATCCCTTTTCCCTCCAAGACCTGCTTCAATCCAGAAAAATCACTTAGTATTTCTAGGAGTGAATTTTAGTGAGAAAAAAATACTGTCTTCTTGAATATAAATTATGTTGTCTAAAATGTTTGATAATTCCTTCATTGGAGAAATTGCTTACAAAAGAAGGCTCTTCTAACATAAGTTTTATAATCAGTTATAATAATTATATTCATTGTATTTATTAATGGTGCTATGTAAATGTTGATGTGCTCAGAATATCAAATAATAATGACTGAAAGTTTCTGAAAATCTTAACTCCCTTATAATAATGACTGAAAGTTTCTGAAAATCTTAACTCCCTGAAAGTTTCTGAAAATCTTAACTCCCTGATATGCCACTTGCGTATTTAAGTCTTTATCTGTGCAAATAAATGATTGACCATTGATGTTATCTGATTAGTTTTATTCTCTACCAATTCTCTGGTTCCTGACCCTTTGTAGATATCCTGAACACTTATTTTACTTAGCAAATCCAGCCTATTTGTAGTTGCTAGTTGACTTGATTTTTTTTCCCTAAGAATTTCTTATAACTGCATTTAAAACATGAAAGTTATTATAGAATTGATGAATCATTCATTATATTGTACATCTTAAACTAATACAATGCTGTATGTTAATTATAATGGAATTTAAAAAATAAAAAGAAATAAGACTGAAATTTACAATAACAAATGTTCTTAAATGTTACTAAGAAAAGCCAATTAAAGTGAATACTATTTTAATATTTAGAGATTTTTATAGACTAAAGAAAGATAAATAAGACATAATTTCTGGCTTTCCATTTTGCCATTATATATGCATATGTAGAAAATTAAGACTGACTAGACATTTGAGAGGGGGAATATCTGACTAACATGTTAAAGGTCACTTTACAATAATCCTTCAAACTAACTCTCAGGGAGATGAGAGAATATTTTGTTAATCACAGTTTGAGTGGCCAGATGAAAAGTAGAAAAATTTTGAGAGGGCATTGCTATCAGAACCAAATTTATCAAGAGCATACTAGCCAGATCTCTGTTATACTTAAAAAATGCTTTCCTTGTTGTGTACGTGATAAAAATGAATCTCATTCCTCAAATTTTTGGCAATTTTCCTATTTGCATTTGAAGGAACTGTGGCTGCAGCAGCTGGTCTCCACCCTGGACAGTGTATTATCAAAGTAAATGGAATCAATGTCAGTAAAGAGACCCATGCCAGCGTTATTGCACATGTTACAGCCTGCAGGAAATATAGGAGACCAATGAAGGTAAACTGCCCTGCAGCTTATCCAGATCTCATTGCATACTTACGTAGAAAGCCTAGGGCACAACACAGGTTTCTGCTTCTAGGATCACATTTAAGCATGGTATAAGCTCAGCATTATGATTGTGTTATCAGCATAATTATCTATGATCAATTATGCTTAAATGATTGCAGCTTATTGTCACAATATCTTCACCTATTTAAAAAGTGCTCTGGTGGATTTTCATTTCATTCATTTTGTGCTATGAATTTTCAGATGAGATCGGGTGCATTCAGGGTGATATGGCTGTAGACATTGTGCTATGAATTTCCAAATACCCGTTTATCAAATTGAAATCCAAAAGTTTTAATTGTTTTCTTGACCTTTGTGAATGCTTTAGGATTTACAACGGTTATTATGTGTCTATGTGGCTTTTATAGGGTCTGTGATTGAGTTTTGGATATATTTGTTTAAGTAACTGGATTTAGCTCCTAAAAGAAAATACCAAAATGTACTTGTCATTACTTAAAATTCTAAGCATTATCCTCTGATTAAATTTCAAGTGCTGTAGAAAAATAAAATTAGAGTCCTAATTTACAGGCAAAGCTTATCCCATGAAGCACAAGTGAATATTGGTCTATAAGAGAAAATTCTCTCAGATTAATCAACTAGATGTAAAAGGAACTTTAGAGGAGAGGCTTTGTATATTTTCCGTCATGCACAGACAAGTACTATCTTCTGGATTTGAGAATGTGACTTTATGTCCAAACCAGAGAGAGGAATGGCTATTTTCTCATAGATCAGGAATGACATCCTGCAAAATACTGAACCTACAAGAAAATCGCTCATCAATTTTGCTTATTAATAAGGTCAAACTAGCATATCAAATTGGAATTCATGCATAGACTCGTAGGTTATTCTGGTTTATAATGGTTTAATAAATATTTATTGAACTATATTATTGAATGAAATTTTTTTTAAAAGACACTTCTGAAATTATCAAACCTTTCCCTTTCAGTCAGAATTTTGATAAGTAGTCAAATTGATTTGAGTTTTGTTCCTTTTCATTTTCCTTGACTGCTTTCTTAGAGAGGAGTTGGTTAGTGAAATGATTAAGAAAATCAATAATTAGGGGCGCCTGGGTGGCTCAGTCGGTTAAGTGTCTGCCACAAAGCAGACTGTTCCAAAACCTAGTGACTTAAAACAACGATTGATTATTTTTTTTGATTCTGTGAGTTGACCGAGTGTTGGTTCCTGGGAAGGGACCCGATGTGGTGGGAGTTGTGCTGGGAATGCCTGGGCTCTGCAACCTCCTTCCTTGTGTTCTCTCCCCCTGGAGCTCCTCTACACGGCTTCCCTTTCTGGTCTAGCAGATTGTCCTTCCTGCATGGTGTCTGCATTTTAAGAGCGGATAAAGAGATCAACTCTATTTATATCATGCTTGCTAATATCCCTTTGGGAAAGCCAGATCCTGTGACCAAACCTCAGGTCAGTGTGTGAAGATGCTGCACAGAGGTGTGGATACTGGAGTGAGTGGTTCCTTTGGGGCCACAACAGGTTATTTGAATGATCAAATGTTAACTGGCATTTTGATGATGGATAGCAAAATACAATTAAACACAAGTGTTAAGTGAATACAAGAAAAAAATCAATAATGTAAATTCTATCACACTTCAGGAGTGCAATTTAGTTTGTCATCTGACCTAGGAAAAGTATAAACTTTAAAGTAATGCAGACCTGAAAGTGCCCACTTAAAGGCCACTTCCTCTTATTTATTTAAATAAGATGGCAACTGCTATTTTAATTAAAATATAGAATAATTTATGACATGATAGGATTAAGAAATAGTTACATCACTTGGGACCCTAATGAAATGAAAGGTGTTCTTCCAATTTTTGTATTGGTTTGATTCAAAAAAGCATTGACTGTATTAAATATATGTGTTAGGAAGAACATTTAAATGATTTGTATAGTGATAGATGATTATTCTTCAGAAAACTGTCCATCTGACATTTATTTAAAAATGAAATTTATAGTTTATTTTAATTTATACTTACGCATTTAAATAAGATCCTTGGGAAATACATCTTTTTTAAAAAATATATTTTGGTAAATACATCTTATTTAAAAACACCTTTGGAAGATAAAATTTCAAGCAAGAAAGTTTGTTAAATAATATAATTACCATTGACTTTTTATTAGTTTCTTTTTTTAAATATTTTATTTATTTATTCCTGAGAGACACAGAAAGAAGCAGAGACATAGGCAGAGGGAGAAGCAGGCTCCCTCCAGGGAGCCTGATGTGGGACTTGATCCCAGGACCCCAGGATCATGTCCTGAGCTGAAGCAGATGCTCAACCACTGAGCCACCCAGGTCCCCCAACTTTTTGTAGTTTCTGATGTTTGGTCTCCCTTCTCTTTCACATTTTATTATCTTTGAATAAACTGGAAGAATAAATAAGATCGTCAACTCTCCTAAAGCAGGTTTAGGGAATGAACATGCATTTTTAGAAGCACTAATACCTCTGAGGTTTCCTTCCCCTCCTCATTCCAGCAAGATTCCATACAATGGGTTTATAATAGCATTGAGAGCGCTCAAGAAGACCTTCAAAAGTCTAACTCCAAACCCCCTGGAGATGAAATAGGAGATGCTTTTGACTGCAAAGTAGAAGGTACGTTCCTTCTTTTTCTCTCCTTCTTTTTCTCTCCGTTTGCTTATAGTAGTACCCTTTTTCAGTATGCCTGTGCTAGTCCCAATTATTGAAAACCTGATATGGTCAAACCACTTTCTTAAGATATTTTCACTAAATAGATGTTATGTCAAATTCATAAACAATACTAGCTAATGACTAACACGTCATAGTTAGTATACTCTGTTAGGCACTTTATTAAGTATTTTACATGGATTATCTCATAAAGTCACCAAAAAAGGAAATCTCGCAAAAGAATTATTGTCATCATCCTTATTTTATGGAAGAAGAAATATTGAGGCTTATTAGACGAAGGGATTTGCCCAAGCTAGTAAGTGATAGAATGAGGATTTAAACCCAGGTTATAATGTGTTTCCTTGTTTTGAGTTTAAATGTTGTATGGACCTTCCTAATCCAGTGTGGTTCACGGACCAGCAGCTGCAGCATCACCTGGAGAGATGCAGAATCGCAGCCCCACCCCAGATCTATTGCAACAGAGATCACCTGGAGAGATGCAGAATCGCAGCCCCACCCCAGATCTATTGCAACAGAATCTTCATTTTAATAAGATCTGATCTGTAAGGGTACTAAAATTTGAAGCCCTCATTTAGAAAGAAAGTCTATGGTCCCTTTGAAACCACTTTCTTGATTCAAGTAACTTTTACTGTATTCTAGCATTAATTGTAATGAAAGAGACAAACTGATAATGTAAAAATGAGAGATTTTTTTTTTTTTGAGAGAGAGAGATCTTTTGATGAGAACCCATAATTTCTGTTTTATCAGTGAAGCAAACCAACAGATTGCTGTATTTGGTGGCTTTACCCAAGGGTAAAGGGATGGAGGCAATTAATTTTATGTTTGTATTTGACAGATACCTTGAATTATTGTTTTGACACTTTTTCACACAAATCCTTGAATCCTCTCTTACTTTTTCCTGGTATCTTTCCATTTATATTATTGGTGGATAAGTCTGGACATTTTTATTGTACTATTAGGTTCTTCCAAACCAGCACAGTTACATAATCCCCTAAACACACTGATCATAAGGTGGGTGGTGGGGGACTCAGGAAAAGCTGTGTTCCCTCCACTCCAGGAAGACCACTTGGTAGGAGCCACTAGATAATGGATGGTATTAGAAATATTTCAACCACACTGAGGCACCAAAGTTGTTATGACATATCAACTTTCTTAATTATTTAAACCAGGACAAATCTCAGGACCTTATCTTAAGGACTTTATTCTTCATTTAGAGAAGCTTTTTTTGCTCATCATCATTACTGCCACAATGAAAGTGTTGATGAGATGCTCTGATAATTGATTTCTAGCTATTCTGGGACTCAATTATTTTAAAATAAACCATTATTCTGCTTTTGTCTATTTTGTATTTACTGTTTCTACCATTCTTTTTTGTTTGTTTCTACCATTCTAAGACTTAACTGTTTTTAGTTAATTAATATTCTATGTTTGCTAATTTAATATTTGTTGTTAGGTTTCTCAGTGGTTTCTTGCTTGAGATTTTAGATGTTTTTATACCAGCTGACTGATTGTAGGCCAAACACCTAGAGGAAGACATTCCAGATAAAAATGTTATAGTGAGGGACACCTGGGTGGCTCAGCAGTTGAGTGTCTGTCTTTGACTCAGGGCATGATCCCGGAGTCCAGGAATAGAGTCCCCCATCGGGCTCCCTGCATGGAGCCTACTTCTCCCTCTGCCTGTGTTTCTTCCTCTCCCTCTCTGTGTCTCTCATGAATAAATGAATAAAATATTTTTTAAAAGAAAATGTGATAGTGAACAATGACAAATTTTCTCAATGAGCTATCTGTAGAATATGCTGTTTTGGAAAATTCATGCATCTTGTCTGCTGAAAAAGAATGATTATTGCATCTCCTTTCTGCTTCTTCAGAATGGCTTTATATATATATTTTTTCTGGTTTGAACAAGTATTCATTCAATGTTGGAGGCAGTTTTAGGAGCCCTGTCTTAAGTCATGCATGTTTTTTTTTTTTTAAGATTTATTTATTTATTCATGAGAGACACACAGAGAGAGGCAGAGACACAGCAGAGGGAGTAGCAGGCTCCCAGAGGGAGCCTGATGTGAGACTCGATCCCCGGACCCCAGGATTACGACCTGAGCCAAAGGCAGATGCTCAACCACTGAGCCACTCCGGTGTCCCGTCATGCATGCTTTTAATTAAAAAAAAAATATAAAATTGTAGGTATAATGTTTATAATGGTATAAATAGGCATACATATGGTACATAGATCAAAATGGATCTGCAAGGACTAGTCATGTTCGTGGTGAGATTTGGATCATTCAAACATATGTTTTTTTAAGTGTTCTTGTTTTTACAAAATGTTAACAAGGATATCAGATTTAGTCATCCTTTAAAGAAATCTTTAAAAATTATTCAGAGAGACTCAAATTATTGAAGAGACTAACAAACCCTTCCTGAATTTGCTGAATTAAAACTGTCTTTGTTCCAGAGGTAATTGACAAGTTTAACACCATGGCCATCATCGACGGGAAGAAGGAGCATGTGAGTCTAACAGTGGATAACGTCCACCTGGAATATGGTGTCGTGTATGAGTATGACAGCACAGCTGGGATAAAGTGTAACGTGGTGGAGAAGATGATTGAGCCCAAAGGTTTCTTCAGCCTCACTGCCAAGGTATGAGTGATCCTGGGAAAACTGAGGATTTTGTTCTAAATAAAGTAACTGACATCCTCTCCCTCCTCTACTTTAAAAAATGTAAGTAGCTGTATATGCTTCAGCTGTCAGCTCATTCAACTTTCTTTTCTTTTTTTTTCCCCCATTACTCGGTAATGCGTACAACCTTCCCTTTTATTGATCTCTTTTGGAGTACAGTGCGAAGTTAGATGGGACTCTTGCCCAGGCAAATGTTAGTTGATTTGGCAAAGGCTTCTCTGCATTTAGTTAAGTTTGCTACATCTGTTGATTCAGTATCATGAATACCTTTCAGATGGTTTTTGTGACAGGTGGTGCTTTTTTAAATGTAGATAATCCTCTGAAAAGTATTTGAAGTCATGAAATGTATTATAAGAAACTTCAAATGCTGCAAGTCTCATGTTTATTTCATAAAATTTCACAAAGCTTCGAGATCCATTTATGAATAGACCCTCATCATTTATATAATTTTTAGTTGGGAAGGAGATCACCCTTAGTCTTTAGACTAAACCAAGATACAAGGGGAGGGAGGAGCATTTTCATCCAAATAGATAAAACATGTGGTAAGTGACCCAGTGCTTGCTTTTCATGATCCTTCCACCAGGTAAATCAATAAAACCTCCTATTGGATCCTCCTCAGGTCTGAGTTTTAGTATTTCATCTGCTCTTCTATCACCCTGTGAGGATTCGGGTATTATAAGTAAGAAATATGACATATAGCTTCACTACTTTTATTTTTTCATGTTAATCTTTGTTTCATATATGTGTGGTTGAGATAGATTTAGCATTTATAGCATGTATTTTTTTTAAATTTTAGTGGGAGAAAATAAGATAGAAACCCAAATGCACTATTTCAAAATTAATTATCTTATGGTTTTGTTTTATATTCTGAAAGTCAACCTCAAAATATTCCATCTTTCTGATGGTGTTCCACCACTATGTATCTTTTGATATAGAATCTGTATTTTCAAGATGCACCCTTCCCAACCATATTATATTCTTAAGGCAATCCAGATAAGCGTTTAGAACCAGGATATTATCATCTTTTTCTAGTTATGTCAAATTTGCAAAGTTACACAAATTACTCTTATATCACAATGGTATAAGTACTGCAAATATTTCCATTTTACACATGAAGAAAAGAGAATAAAAGAAATTAAGAAATTTAACCAAGATCACATTGCTGTTCATAAACTGAGCTCTACTTTCTAGAGTAGTGATTAAACAAAAAAACTCACACTTTATATTCTGTAAGATAGGGAGGTAGAGGTGGTGAGGGAGCTCAAATAAACATAGCATCTATACATTGTATCTCTCATACAATATAAGATGTATTATATTACAAATTATTCTATTATACATGTATTATATATTATAAAAATATCAGGTAAGGGTATAATCAATCCTTGCAATCTTTGAACAGTCATAAACATGACACATAATTAATTCTTAATTCATTGGAAATTCTCCATGATCAATAGTGTGTATACACACAAGCATACACAAATGCTGTCTTACAATTGATTTAAATAGCCAAAGGGATTTATTAATTGAATACATCATATGGATGCTTTTGTCAGATAGAGCTCAGACTCTGCAACTATCATTGATTTTACTTTAGCAAGATAATTTCTTATTTATTCATTTTGTCAACAAATATATGCTATGTGCATTCTCTGTACTAGGCTCTCAGTAGAAAATAAGGATGCCGTTCGATTGGTTTTCCTTACTTACCTTTTGTTGTTCTACTAAGAAATTGAGAAAAAAAAATGTTCTGAGTGACTCTGACTAAAATATAGGTAATGTGTTACCACATCAGAGCATCCTGATTTATCCAGCAGGGAGTCTTTGAAGTCCACTCACTTCCCTCAGGCAACCTTTTATAGCTGGCAGAAAGCAAAACATGAGAGCCCAAACTACACAAGTCCATCACTTCACTGTGAGGGTTTTATTGAACGTGGAAATCCCAGGCAGCTAAGAGAAGTGTGCTGGGGAGAGTCACTCTGTTCTAGAATTGTGAAAACTTTATTTGGCTAATTTTGAAGGTTTTCTTTTCTTGTTCTGTGTGTGTGTGTGTGTGTGTGTGTGTGTGTGTATGTGTTTGTATTACTACAGATTCTTGAAGCCCTGGCTAAAAGTGATGATCATTTTGTACAAAACTGCACCAGCCTTAACTCTTTAAATGAAGTGATTCCTACTGACCTTCAGAGTAAATTCAGTGCCATTTGCAGTGAAAAAATTGAGCACATATGTCAGAGAATATCCAGTTATAAAAAGGTAAAAAGTTTTATGAATATATTTTACATGTAATTATTATTCAAATTATTTAAATGTCCAATTTAATTCAATACGTAATATTTTCATTGCTTATTTATGTACCAGTTTATTGAAATAATAACATAACATTTTAGAGTTTTTTTGAATATCTTTACATCTATTAACCTCATTTGATCTTTGTAAACCTGAAAGCTAGGTCATTATTCCACATTTTCCAAATACAATAACTGAGGCCTAAAGCATTAAATTACTTAGTAGCAAAAGATAGAGTTGGGATGTAAATCCAGGCCACCTAATTATGAAGTCAATAGTTCTTTTCCTTTTCTCTCAACAGAGGGAATAGAACTTTCAATCAGAAAGTACACAGAACACAGTCTGTTTGAAATTGATTGATTAGTACATTTATTTGACATATTTATTGAGCACAGTTTATATGCCAAGTACTATTCTTGGTGCTAGGAATATGGCAATAAAAGAGAGAAGATCTTTCCTCTCAGGGTACTTATATTTGAGTGAGGGATGCAGCAAAGAAGAAGTAAATCTCTACAGAGGCCCCAAAGCAAAAAAAAAAAAAAGGCAAAAAACAAAACAAAAACCAGGGTGGCAGGGAGAATATGGCTGGCTTAGGCAGGCACAGTGTTAAAAGCTACGGAAGCTTTTTATCTTTTGGAACTTTGGAAGGAGTTTGGATTTTCTTCTCACATCAATGGAAGCAGTTGGAAGCTTATAATCGAGGATGACTTCATTGGTTTAAGTTTTTAAAAAATGGTGCTGGGTCTTCTGTAGGAATGGATTTCAAGGTGCAAGAACGGAGGCCTAGAGACGAAGAGGAAACTATTGCAATAGTCCCAGTGAATGATGGTGGTAGCCTGGCCTATGGTGAAGATGGGGGAGACAGAGAAAATTAGATGGATTTGAAGATACAATTTAGACATAGAATTAGTAGAAATTGATCTCTAAAATACATGTATAGTAAGTTTTTTTTTCTATTATATCGATAGGAGACTAGCTAATTAAATTATTTCCCTTAAAATGAGGTTGGTTGTTTAAAATTTAATACAGCCATACTAGGAAATATTTATCTCAGTTTTTATGAATGTGAGTTAATTGTGTATGTTTTATGTTCCTGATATACTAAGTCAAGGATAAGCCTATATGTGTCCAGATATGGCTGTATGAGAATAGGGAAATGCAAAAATGAATACTTAACCATTGGTTACCTCAGGTTGAGTGGGGACAAGGAGAAGAGAGGTCACCATGGTTTTAAGACTTCTTAAAATGTTTAGCTTATGAAGTTGAATATGTATTGCTATTTTAATTCTTTATAAGTCCATTCACATGAAGAAAAATGATCCTCAAGATCACTGCTTAACTGTCACATCTGTTAATCCTCTTTCCTTGATTGCTAAGGTCAGTTCACCTACTTGAGTTTGGGAAAGATGCCATGAATATGCCTTGTGGAAGCTGAAGAACAGAAGGTTCTCTTTTTACTTCTCCCTTCTGCATAAGATAGGACAGTGCTTTGAAGTAGAAGGTCTAAACAAATGCAAATTCATATTCCCCTTTGAGCACATTTTGAAAAGAGAATTATTCTACTTCAGAAATGGATCTGTTTAAAGTATGATAGGGGTTCAGGCAGATTCCGATTGTCAAAGTTGTCAGTGTTGGGGGGGGTCATTTCTTATATTTTTCCATTCATACAAAAGTAGTAGAAATAGCCTAAAGAAATATACATTAAAAAAGTAAACTATAGGGGCACCTGGGTGGTTCAGTAGTTGAGCTTCTGCCTTTGGCTCAGGTCCTGGGATCGAGTCCCCCATCGAGCTCTCCTCAGGGAGCCTGCTTCTCCCTCTGCCTATGACTTTGCCTCTCTTTCTGCTCTCATGAGTAAATAAATAATATCTTTAAAAAATGTAAACTATATAAGTAAAAACAAAACATTAGGATGAAGGTATATTAGATAGGCTATTGATTCAGCTGCTTTAAGAAGGACCAAAATAACACGAGCTTATAACTGAAAGCTTATTTTTCGCTTACATGAAAGTTCAACTGGACTGGAGTCCAGTGGGGTGGGGTTTGATGATCTTCTAGGGCTCCTTCTATATTTTTACTATCTCGTCTAAGACATTGCCCTCTTCTACAAGGTCAAAGTCGGCTCATCAGCACCATGCCAAATTATATTCCCTCAGAAGAGAAAAGAGGAAGTGGAGAGTAAAGAGTTTATTGTTTGAGGGCATGACCCAGAATTTGTACAGCACTCCTGTTTACATCCGATTTGTCACTTACCGAAAGAGGCTGAGATATATGTTATCTCAAACTGGGCTTCCATGTACCCAACTATAAAACTCATAGAATTTTATTAATAAAATGAAGAAAGAGAGAACAGATATTAGTGGAAAATGAGCAGGTACATTTGTTTATAGGTAAAGTTATGTTACAGTCGATGGTATAGAAAGACCACCAAGGGGAAAGGGTGATAAGGTCCTCCAACTCCTGAGACTCTAGTTAGTTGCTAAAGTGGAATATTATATTTGGCCTTCAGTTTCCTGATAACCAAAATAAAAAAAGAAACACAGTCTATTACATATTTATCAGCATTCCTGTGATTTATACATGTATCTTAAGAGAAGCAAAGCTTTTCTTAGACTGAGTTCCAAAAGAAATCTCTCACACTGAATTTCAAAGAGGTGGCACCAGGAAATGTCAGGGCAGTGCCCGTAAAGATGTCCCTGAAAAAGAAATAGCAATTTGTTTTATGTGGCATATATTTTTAATACACTCCTTAATGAAACCCGATGAATTAGTCTAAAACTCAGCTTCATGGAAGAAAATTTGTTGCAGGATGGGGCGGGAAGAACAAGGAAATATTTACTAAATCTGTACCTACTATGTTGTCAACAATAACTTGAGGATGGCTGCCCTCCCACACTTACAATCTGCAGGGGAAGAAAGGTTAAAATATATGAAGTAACTAAAAATACTACTACCTAACCTACTAGGAGGTACCACCATGACTAGTTGAGTGTGCTGGCATATCATACCCTGCTCTATATGATGGTGCTCCCTGGAATTACGTAGCACACAACAGTTTATAGCAGCCTGCTACAGTATCAGACATTGCATAAGTATTTTATAGATTTCAGATATTATATAATTTTATCAACACTGTGACGTGACATATCATCTATTTCATTGATGAAATGATTGAAGCTCAGAGTGGTAACTTGCCCAAAGGCACACAGCTGAGCATAGCTGTGGAAATTGAACCTTGTTCCCTTTTATCGTAAATCTAGTTTTTGTTTGCCTACCTACATTTGATGCTATGCTATACAGCATATGTATCATTCAAATTCCACTGCTAAATTGCACTATATAGCTAAACAGTATGGGTCTGACTACAAGGGCAATAGCATTTCAGTAAAAGAGAAATCATCGTGGATGGAATAGTCGGTAAATGCTAGCTGCTCTAAGTTGGAAGGATGTGTCAGAGAGAAGAGAAGTAGAGATGACACTCAAGTAAGGAGAAACCTCTTGAGTGAAGGCAGAGCTACAGAAATGGGACTGATTTTATTGATGAAGAATTGGCATACTGCCTAGACTAGAAAGGAGGATTTGAGTTGGATACCATTAAAAAGAAAACTGGCAAAATCTGATTTTTCTAGTGATATTTTAAAGTGACATAATAATCAGATTTATTTGTAAAAAGGGCAAGTCAGTGGTGACTTGGTCTCATGTAGAAGCACTGGGGATGGAGAGAAAAGAGTCAATTCAAGTGGTGCATAGGATGTAGACTGTATACAGCTCTATGATGGATTGGTTATGGTGGATGAAGAAGATGTTATTCCTTGGTTTTTAACAAAAATGTGATTTGTGATAAACTGAAAAGTGTATGTTGGGGGTAGATTAGAAGCATCAGGGACAGGGTTTTTCCTCAAATGTTAAGGCTTCTCAAAAACACCACCCTGGCAAGTAAAAAGTATCTTCCATTTTCTCAGAAGTAACTAAGAGCCTAGAAAGCTTTTAAAGCAAAGATGGACAGGCTAATGATGGGCAGTGATTTGAGATGGTAAAAATTACATCACTAGATTTGGAAAGCTCTTGTATGTACATTATTGTTTGAGCCTCAAAACAGCCATATGTACTGAATACTCCTACCATCTGCTTCTTTCACAGGGAGGTTAAGAATTTGCTTAAGGTCACTTAGCTGGCAAGTAGCAGACTAGGTATCAGTCCTATGGAATGTTGTCTCGCTTATTTTTATTTTTAATTTTAGAAATAAAGATAAACCTATAGTCAATTAGGAGTTAAGCACTTTAAAAGATCCTTTTTCAGCATCTTTTACTGACCGTACACATATTTAGAATATTTGACTGTCTTTCTCATTAGATAGAGAAACAAGGTTAGCAAGAAAATATTTCAGGGATATTTTTTATTTGAACGAAATTCAGATAGCTAAGACAATAATAGCCTTACTAGGTTATGTAAGGTTAGCTCCATTTGTGTATCAAATGCATGTCCACAGAAAATATAGCATTTGTGAATATGTATTTTTAATTTCCACATATTTACTTTTAAACTATTATTAGTAACATATTTTTCTTCCAGATGAAGACTTCAAACACCCCTCTTTTTTGTAAAATAAAATGTATCCATAGAAACTAAAATCTCAAAGAAGCTGGCTTTCCTGCATTTTGACTCTAAAAGTTTTAGGCTTTAAAAATAGAAACAAGTTGATTTCTGCAGTTTCTATAGCCAGGCTGCTGCAATCATAATTGATTTTCTGGCCAGCTGTACAGGCCACAGATGTTTTTTAGCACATGTATGAGAGAAGTTCCGACCTTACTGGAGACCTGAATGAATCCTAAGCAGGCATTTAATCTTCTTGGGGCAGGATGTGTGGGTGATCCAGACATAAAACTATGCACTGTTTAGAGAAACATTCTTACCCTGAATTGTCCTTAGAACTCTTTTTAATTCTAGATTCATTCTCCATTGGATAA